GGGGGGGGGGGGGGGTTACACCCCAAAAGTCCTGTTTCGGCTGAAAATTATGGATTTTGAGTTGTAGGTATTTTAGTTTCTTCGAATATCCTCTCTCACAACTATTTCATAGCATTAGAACCCCCTAAAGCCTTATTTATTCTCAGACTGGTCATGTTTGTCACAACCACTTCCTCGTTAGGTCAATCTTTTTTATTTCTTTATCGCCCGTTTTCTCAAAACGCGGTTTTTCTATGAACTCTTTGAATAACTCCACGATTTTTCTTCCAATATTCATGAAATTTTCACTGAATGAAGAGCAGATGTAATACTAAAAATGTGTCTGTTGAATTTTTGATATATAGAATGTATTTATTTTGTGGTGTCTGGAGTGTGGATTTTCACGATTTCTTTTTGCTAATTTGAATACAACCTCAAGAAAAAAAAATTCATTAAAACATTTCTAGTTTGTTTAGGAAAAATTCAAAACATAAACTTGAACATTAAGTGATGATGATGATGATGATGATCATGCTGATGATCATGATGAAGATCATGATGATGAGAATGAGGCAGAGGTGAAGTGGGAGGAGACAAAGGAAGATTTCCAGTTAGACCGTAGTGTTTCTAAATTCTTTTGCTTATACAAAACAAAAACCAATAACTAGGACTGAGTTCAAGAACAAGGTTGAAATTATAATAATATATCGGTAACGACAGACAAAATCATTAAATGCAAGCCTTCTAAATGATAATAATTGTAGACTGGCTTATGTGTATGCACACGCGCAAATCATAAAAATACCATTAGTTCCTCACGTGTATTTGTTCAGTTGCTGATAGGGGTTTACTTTAACCTCTGGGGCTGTTTGTTCATTTGTCTTCTTAAGTTGGGATTGGGCCGTAGATATATAAATATTTACCAAAGGGAAACACACAAAAACAACAGAAAACCACTAATAATTATGACAGAGTTCAAGAACAATGTCAAACGATGCACAGATCGCGACAGATAAAAATGTTAATGTTCTACTCTTTGGATTAAAAAAAAAATCTAAAAAAATAAATTGGTTCATGTGTATGTCCACGAACAAGTCATTAATACACCATTCAGAAGTGGAAACAAAGACAGATGGAGCGTTGGGGGCAAGCTCAGCTTAAACAGTGGCACCCTTTTAAAAAATTGAAAAGTATTCACTCTCAAATCGTGTTAATAAAGCCTTTGATTATTCACTCAGGCAACATACCAATTTAAGCCTAAACGAATTCTGCACCATTTGGGACATTAATACTTTATCTACGATTAGAGTTGTACGAGATATGGTCACTCAAACTTTGAGTGACCAAATCTCGGGCGAATTTAATCAAAAAGAAAAAAAAATGTGTTAGATGATACGCATTTTATTTTGCTTTAAGTGGTAAGCTGCAGAAGCGGGTAGTGCAAGCATGTAACACGAAAATTCCGCAAATACATTTTCAAATCTCTTTTGACACCACAGTATAATGAATCGAATGAACATCCCGGAAATTAAGATTTCTCTTTTTCTTTAAAAAAAAGTTCACTGTTTCATCATTTGATGCTGGACTGTATCTTTAGAAAAATCCATTTATAACGTGTTGGTTAACCTGAACAAGCAGGAATAATACAACCTTCCAGCAGACAGGCGGAGATTCAGAAAACATAATGCATCTTTTTTAAAATGCCCAACACAGAAATCGTACTTCGGTTTTCTGCGTTAATCGGAGAAGCACCCATCTGCTACACAACAAACGCTGGTATTGAACGACGTATGACACCAATATCGTACCTAAGTATAATTATGAAGTCTCCACCGCCAGTCTTGTCATTATTCTGTAGAATCATTGACATCATCCCCATTGTGCTCACGTGACTTTGAGTCCGTCACAACCTGTCCCTGTTGGTTGTTTACCCAGAGACAATGACGTCAGAGGTCTCTTGCGTCTCCCACGACTATATAATCACAGCAGACACTCTACTCAAAACACTGACACCCCTGGGTCCTTCAGAAACCATGGTGAGTAGCACAGTGCCTTCATTACTCTCTTCTTGTCGTTGTTACTCTCGATGTAGCAGCTCTAATATTCAGTACGTATAGCCTAATTATGTTGCAACTCCCGTAAAACGTTAACTAAAACATAGTCTCTTTCACGGTCTGTTAATTGGTTGGTATGTTAAATTTGCAAGTGTCGAAATAGACACAACTTAGATGATTTAGGAGGTTGGCTTTCACAACCGTGTCAGGGTATGTGAGGGAGGTACAACATCCCAGCAGACAGACCAATATACTCGTTGATCTGTTTCAGACCTGACACTTGTTCATGCTTAAGAAGAGGAACATAAATGGTCGGCAGTCCATTGGTTAGGCTAATAGACACGCTCCCATTTGCCTCTGTTTAATTTTGGCACGGGCTTTAAATTAAGAGGTCTAGTCTCTTAAACATGAATATTATTACACTTTTGCAAGAGGCGGAACGCCTATACAATTTCCTCATGCTTCTTTATTCAATTTAGTTCCTCAAACTTTCCAATAGTAATTCGATCTTCAAACACAGTTTATCAAAGTTTCCTATCTGGTTCAACCAATTGTAAGGTATTCATGGAGCAGTTAAATGTTAACTTTATCGACTTTTTCTCTCTGGTTCCAGAACTCCGTGATTTTCCTCACCGCACTTTGCGTGGCTGTAGCCACATCAGCTTTGGTCAAACGCCAGGCACCTCAGAACCCTACTCCAGGAAACGGTCCTTTCCCCCAATTCCCTCAACTCCCACCCAACGGCACTTTCCCTCAATTTCCTCAACCCCCACCCAACGGCACTTTCCCCCAATTTCCTCAACTCCCACCCAACGGCACATTCCCCCAATTCCCTGCACCTCCACCCAATGGTACCCTTCCCCCGTTTTCATTCCCACCACCGCCTCGAGGCCCATTTCCCCAAGGCCCATTCGGCATGCCCACACCCCAACAAGGTCCATTCGGCCCATACCAGCAAGGTCCATTCGGCCCATCCCAGCAAGGTCCATTCGGCCCATCCCAACAAGGTCCATTCGGCATGCCCTCACCCCCTCAAGGAGGTTTCCAATTCCCAGGGATATTCCAACAAAACGGTAAGATTTAATTCCGGATTTTGTCTCCTTTCACTTTCAAATTTGCCAAAGAAGTCTTCCCTCACAATTAGAGAATAAGCAACAAATTTTATTTTCTTCGAGCGTCAACAAACATCCACCTACACATCAGAAAGGGTTTTGTTGTGTTTGTTTGTTCTTTTCATTTGTAGTCCTTTGTCTTTCTTTTGAGTGCCTTGTTATTCATTATATTTCGTATTAGACAATCATCGACAATGAGAGCGTAAGTGAGTTGGTACAATGATACGTCAGTCCTAAGATGGAACAATTAGAGAATAATAATACATTATGAATAACAATGCATTTATCTATGTGTTGGTTTTTGATTACATAATTCATTAGATTTGTTCTAGCTTTTGTCCCTGCTCTAGCCGCCCCCCCCCCCAACCCTTCCAAAGACTGCTCAATTGTGGGAGGGTGAAGTGAGTGGGGACATACCCCTCTCCCTTTCTCTTGGCAGAGAGAGTCCAGATTTCGAAAATATATTGTTGGCCCTATTTGTGTCAGAAACTTCATTAACTAATTAGGTCAAGTCAAAAATTTTATGGAGTAGCTTCTAATAGCTATCCTAGCCTGGTTTGCAACATATATTTTGATATTTTGAAGTAAAAATAGAGTTGTTTTTGTTGTTTCTTTTTTCAGAAACTAAATCTTAGGGTTCTTGATGACAACAAAGATGAAAGCTTCTTGAAAAATGATAGCCTAGAAGCTCCATAGACTTGTGTTATTAGCCTAGATTGTGTACTTCAGCGTAATTCCTGTTTTCTATGGAGAAGGCTGTTTGACTCAATTCGGAGACAACTGAAGGGCAATGGGGAATAGGTGCCACGTGCACTCAACTCTCTCTCTGCTTTCTCTCTCTCTCTCTCTCTCTCTCTCTCTCTCTCTCTCT